GTGCTACAGCGGGGGCCGTGCAAAACAGTGGTTCAACCTGAGAAAAGTTACAGGGTTAGGAGAGCACCGGCCGCGACCCACCCGGCCCCGGGCGCGGGGCGGGCACTGAGGCTGCCCTGCTACGGGGGGACGCGCCCACTGCAGGCCCAGGGCCTGTCCCCTGGCCCTCTGGCCTTCCTCCGCCGGCCCGGCCCGGCGGCCCACCGCCCACAGCCGGCCTGCCCCAGCCCAGGCCTGAGCCCTGTCTTCTTCCTCGCTCGCGCAGTGGGAGCCTCGAAGAACCGGCTTCCGTGCAATGGAAAGTTTCAAGTAGCCGCTTGAAATTTAAAGAAAAATTCTAAAACGTTAACGAAACTGGTAAAATTAATTTAACAATATATTTTAATTCAGTATACCCAAAAGGACTTTTCAATATGCAATGGATGTGACATGTGAACGAGGTATTTGACGTTCTCCTACTAGGTCGTCAGTCCACTTCACACCAAGCACACTGAGGTTCAGAGGAAGCCCTTCCCGGCAGCGGGGGCGGTGGCTCCCAGGGCTGTGTCTGGCCACTGCCCGCCTGCCCTCAAGCACACCTCACTCAAGCTCAGAGCTTCCCTGGCTGCCAGGCCCGGAGCCCTGTGCCCTCCACATCCTCAGAGCTGTGCTTCGTCCCCTCTTGCCACCCCTCAGTTCCTGGCAGACCCTTCGACCTGACGCGTTTCAAACCCCAGCTCTGGTAGTTGTCCTGTCCCAGCTTGGCGTCCTTCTGCCTTACTCCAAGGTGAAGATTGAAATCTGTCCCAGGGCCTGTCAGGACCCAGCTCCTCTCCCCCACCCCCACCCCCAGCTACCCTGGGGGTCAGTGCCTCCCTGCCACCTGTTGTCCCTGCTGCCCTGGCCCCTGGCCTCCTGCCTCCCCCTGGCCTCCTGGCGCCTCCAGCGGTCTCACCTAATCCCAAGCTGGCAGATCCGTGCCCAGGCCCCTGTGGACTCTGCCTCTCGTGATAGTACTGTGGGCCTCCTTGGTCACACTTGCCAGGGCCCAGCTCCACATTAGTGGGATGCATCAGGTAGACGCTTCCCCTCCCGACTCAGGCTCTTACAGGCAGGGACAGAGCCTGGCACCCCCAGGCTCACTAACAGTGCAGGAGCCACACCTGTGGAAGGAAGCAGCGCTACTAGGGAGGCTTAAGGACTACAAACTAGGGCACTTCCAGTGCACTGAGCATTCTCATTCCACAGACAGGGGAGTGAGGCACAGAGAGCCGGTTCCCTCCTGGAGGTCAAATGGCAGGGAAACAGCGGAGCTGTACCTTGAAGTCTGGCAGGTGGCTGCTGAGTCTGTACTCTTCCTGATCTCCAGGCACTGAACCATCCGACCTCCTCATCCCGTGAACAAGGCCACTGGGAACAGCTCCTCAGAAGGCAGGAAGGGCCAGGGAGCAGGCATGTGGAACAGTGCTGGACTGAGCTCAAGTGTCTTCAGGTGAGGAGAGAAGGGCAGGCTCACTGGTGCCCAAGGCCCTTTCAACTCCAGAACGCTGACTTCTCCCACACTCAAATCCTTCTAGCGGCCTTCTGAGGTTGAAAGGGAAACTTCACTGAGAAATAAAGGCCAGGCCTCCACTGCCCCTCAAGTCACTGCTGACTGTGGTGGGCCTGGGTTCTCAGAACCCCAGCAGGGCAGGGTGAAGGTGCAGGTGATACCCAGGTGCTCTGAAGGTACAGCCAAGGTCTCAAGGAAGCAGGCAGGGCCTGGTAGGAGCCACTGGCCCTGACAGGCTGATGCCTGAGCCTCAGAAGGGAGAACTGGGCCCGGGGAGGAGTCCCCTGCTGCCTTGGTGAGCACAGCAATGCCTACCTCACGGTGTAGGTCGCTGTGTCAGCCAGTGCTGGGCACTACTTACACGTCTTATAACAGAGCATCTTTACCTGCTTTCCACTCCAAAAAGCTCAGGCTGTGTTGAAAGGACTTCCACCAGACCAAACTCCCTCAAGACACAGTGGGACTTCAGACCCAAGGATGCCTAAGGGAAGCAGGGGGCCCTTGGAGGCTGGCCTGACCCTCCTTAAACAGTAGTGATGGCCCAAGGCAGACACACAAATGACATCCCTAGGCCAGAGACCAGCGTTCCTGCTACTTCCTCTGAAGCTGCAGACTCAAGGCCCACACAGCACAAAGCGAAAGATATGGCCCAGTGTGGTCAATGTGATGCACCTCCTCTGCATCACGTCTGTCCACCGACATCAGGCTGGGAGCCAGGGAGGACACTCACTCTTAGGCTGTTCCTCCCATGCCTCAGGAGACACCGTGTCCTACGTGTGCCTTGACACCTGCCACTGACTCTTGCAGACACCCAGGAAGACAGCCTAGGAAGATAACCCGGAAGTCCCTCTTCTTTTGTTCCCCAAGAGGATGCTTCTTTCTGAAGCAAACTCCACATTTCAACTGGTTAACAAAGGGAAGAGGGATCCATTTTTATATTTTTTGCTTTCTTCCTTAAGATTTCTAACTGGTCCCCCAACCTTATTCTGTAAGTATGTGGTTTATGCAACTGGAGCAATTTGTGTTTTTAAAAGAAACATCATTAATAGTTAATAAAGCTTCCCAAGATAAAAGCTGCTTCCTCAACTAAATTATATAAATAGCTAAACATACTGGCTGTTCCAGGCATTCCTCTAAGCATATTTAACCCTTTAAAGCAACTCCATTACCATCATCATTTTACAAGTGGGGGAACTGAGGCACACGGAGTCACAGGACTGAGGATCAGAGCTGGAACAGTCTTCACTCTCTGTCCTTTGCTGCTGTGTCAGCACTGACATCCTACATCAAGGTTGGGTTTGGACAGTGTCACCTGCTCCAGGCCTGCACCCTGACCCTTTCAGGAAAGAGAAGCCAGTGTATCCCATTGGCCCCCAGCCTCTGAGGGCAGCAGCTATGGCGCACTTGCTCTGGGATTGGTATCAGTCTGTTTTCTGTTGCTGTTACAAAATGACCAAAACTCAGTACTGACAATGAAAAGAGACAAATTTACCTCATAATAGTGGTGGCAGAAGGCCCAGGGTCAAAGGGCTCTCTCAGTTCAGCCTCCAGCCAGATCACAAATGAGCAGATGGCATCTTGGAGGGAGCCACCCCATGAGACCTGGCAGGTCTAGGCTTGCTCCATTCAGCCTCCCACACAGAGCCTCACGAAACAAACCCCTCCAGAGGCAGCACTCCAGGCCCTCCTCCCTCGTGTTCAGCCACATCTCTTAATCCCCCCACAGTAGGGAATGAGCCTTTGAGAACACACTCAGATCATGCCCTAACCACAGCCACCCTTCAGCTGCAGACTCCAGCGCCACACCCTTGGGTGTTGGGCTCAAGACTGAATCTGGAAAGGTCACAAGGTAGTGGAGGGACAAGAACACAGAGGGTAGAACAGGAAGGGAAAAGAAAAACCCGCAGGCAGCCTCAGAGTGAATGACCTTCCCAACACTCCACCCCCACAAGGCTCCTCTGTCGCTTTGGCTTTCCCCGGCAAGTGAGAGACCAGAGAGCCACTGAGGGCCACCCTGCTCTACTGGAGCACAGCGTGCCTGGGGAATGTGTCCAGCCCTGCACTGTGTGCCCAGGACACAGACGGGTCGTCCTTCAGACATTTGAGGACAGCCTTCACTCTCCCTTATGCTTGTCCAAAATAATGTCAAGAGTTCATAGCAAACGTGAACACTGAGTTCAAGAATCCCTAAGTTCCTGTCCATGGCTTTCAAACAGAAACAATATACAATTTTAATATTTCACTTTCCAGGGTGAAATTTGAAGAGATCTAGAAGCATACAAACCGAGGTGTTCAGAGAAAACAGAAAAATAAGATACTTTGCATTTGTTTTACATCCTAAAAATTCTGGAATAAAATTCATGTATTCATTCCACCTGGGCTGGGCTCTCAGTGCCTGTGGGTCATCCTGCTTGCTTCTCTCTTCTTTCCCCTCTTCTCCCCTCCCCTCCCTTTCCCTCTCCTCCTCTCCCCTCCCTTTCCCTCCCCTCCCCTCTCCTCTCCACCAGGGTTGGGCACTTGCCTAGCACACACCAGGCCCTGGATCCCTCCTCCCTGTGGAAACATGGCCTTAGCACCCACTTGACCAGCACCTGCTCTCCTCTGAATCTGTAACTCTGGCTTTGACCTCTCTCCTAAAACTGAGACAAGGCAGTGTGAACCCAGTGGCTCCCAGACAACCCCTCAGGGCCACAACCACCCATGGCTCCTCTGCATCTCATTCCTCAGTCAATGGCATCACCACTATCAACTCACCTCAGCCAGAAACATGGGTGTCCCATGAAGATCCTCTATACCACCCCATGGCTCCTTGGATTCTAGTCTTTCTTTAAAAGTACTTCTTAAAATTGTATGTGCACGCAAATCCCCCAGGGATCCTACTAACTTTGCACATTCTCCTGTCAATAGTGGGGAGTCACACCAATAGGCCATTTCTCTTCTACCTGCACACAGTTAATTTCATTTCATTATTTGATGCTGGAGATTAAACCCAGAACACCACATGAACTGAGCAAATGCTTTACCAGTGAGCTCCACCTGGAGGACCCTCCACTTCACAGTATATAACACTACCTGGGTCACACTATTGCCTCCAAACGGGCATTTCCGGCACCTGGATGCTCCTTCTTACCCCTTCCCTGGTGGGGCTCCTCCCCAAGAGGCAAGCATCTTCTGACCTCCTCTCATCCTTAATTTTGCCTGCACTTAAACAATACAAATGAAAGCATAAGACATGTACCTTTTGGTATAAGACTACCATGTATGTGAGATTCACCAATGTTGCATACTTCAGCAGTTTGACTGTGAAAACTGCTATATGGTATTCCAGCGTGTAAACGTGCAACTGTTCATTTCCCCATTTCATGTTGATGGGCATTTGCCGTGTTCCCCAGGTCTTCATGCCAAGCCACGCTCCTGTCCCACTGTCAGGTAGAAGTCCCCATGCTGGGGCTGCCTGGAGCCCACCAGAAGAAGCTTCATGGATGCCAAAGGTATTTCTAGCATGGGGAAATTCTGAGAGAATCAGAAACAGGCCTTGAAGGTCAATTATGAGAACAAAAGATTTCTTGCTGCACCCCTTTTACCAAGGAATTAGGAGGTGCACCTCAGGAACCAAAGATGTGGAGGGTGGAGAGATTCCTACCATCCCACAGTGGTATTTTCCTCATCCTGCCCCACCGCAGAGCACCTTCTTCTTCCACCCAGCCAGACTCATCCCAGCTCCACAGGAGCCAGCCCCTCCCATCAACCATATCTGGGCCGTCAGAGCCCCATCCTGCACTCACTGAAGCTGCTGTACAGGGGAACACAACCTGACTCGGCCTTCCCATGTGCTCTCGCCTGTGCACTTGGGTGCACCACCTCTGTGCATGGCTGCCCTCTCCAGGTCTGCCCTTCTGAGGACAGTTGTCATGGTAGCCTATGGCTCATGTGAATAGTTGATGTTACACTGTCCCAGGGTTGCAGCCTGGTGAGTGGCAGTGGTTAGGCTGGCAGCATTTTCTGGCAGGACATGATTTGCTCCATATATCACTTTCCTCTTTCCCACACCTAGGCAGAGGTCCTTGGGGTGACTTCAGGGGCTCTCTGGCCTTGGGTCTGATCTCCCAGGTCACCCTCCAGCTCCAGGAGAAGGAGGAGTGCTGCCCCCACAGTTGACCCGCAGAGCTCTGTACCCCCTCCATTGCCTTATTTATTTACTACTATTATTATTTTTGGTACTGGAACTTGAACGCAAGGCCTTTGCACTGCGCTACATTCCCAGCCCTGTTTTATTTTGAGACATTGTCTCACTAAGCCATTAAATTGCCCAGGCTGAGCTTGTATTTGCAATATTCCTGTCTCAGCCTCCCAGAGTGCTGGGATTGCACCATGCACTGCCCTGCCAGGGTGAGTGGGTTTCAAGGTGCAGGATTAGAACCTTCCCAAGCTGATGAGAGCCAGCAGGTTAGCACAGCTTGCTTAGGAAGCTGTCACTCCTGCTTCTGCACTGCCCATGCCACTCAGGCCCTGAGACCTGACAGCAGGCACCTGCCTGTGTCGTTGCACCTGCAGGGACGCTGCAGTCTGTCCCGGGAGGGATGTACACAGGGGTCAGCTGCACACACAGGCTGGGAGTCAGAGTCCTCAGTGTACAGGTGCTCCTGAAGGGCATGGCCTTGGCCACCCTCTGGTGACCTTCCTGCTTCAGCCTCCCCACCACTGAATTTGGGCCCTGCCTCACCATGGCCCAAGCCACCCATGACTGCTCCCTTGGACATGGAACAGCCCAGACTAGCTCCCTGCCCTCCCTGTCTGTCTGATATCTGTTTCAAAACAAGGCAGAGCATTCAGTTAAAATAGAGTCAGAGCCCTGCCTCAGGGCATGCCTGTCATCCCAGCGCTCTGGGAGACTGAGGTAGGAGG